TATATATTATAGGTGAGAAAATGAGGCCCAGACATATGAAGTAATTTTAGAATATTCCATTGTGCAGAATATGGTCTTATATTCTTCCTAACTTGGCTATCTAACATCTGAGTGAATAATCAGGCTCTTTAATCACAGATCGTCAGTTGATTTTTTTTGGAGCATTGTGGTTGGGAAAATTTTTTAAACTAAATTTCTTGTACCACCATTGTAGTTCAGAATTTAAAAGGAAAAAAAGTTCCAAAGCTGATTTGGAGATTTTTCTGTTGATATTCTTGCTATAATTACCAAAAAAATTCAGTTAAAAGAAATAATATTGAATATTTCCTTTCCTTTTCCTGAATTAATAACAGAAATCTACAGTCATATCTTGCCATCATTTTTCTCCTCACCTAATAAAAATATATTTGAGTCTGTGTGCCTTATATTTGCACTTCTGGCTTCGGAATTGTTTTCTTCTAATTTTGTTTTGATTCGTATACTTACTATAAAATTATCCTCCTGTATGTTTTGGATCAGCCCTCACTTGTTAAAGTTTATTCACTGAAGGAATAGTTTTTAAAGGACCTGTGTCATATCAAGACAGTTTTATGTGCAGCTTTAAATTACAACTTTAAAAAATTAATTTATTGATTGATTCAGGATCTTGCTGTGTTGCCAAGTGGGCCTCAAACTCCTGGGTGGAAGTGATACTCCTGTCTCAGCCTACTGAGTAGGTGGAACTATGGGTGTATGCTTCATACCCAGCTAATTAAATCTTTTAATTGTTACATAAAAATTGGTGCTTTTTCATAGAGTAACATGCAGTGTTTCAATACATGTATACTTTGTGTAAAGTTTAAATCAGGTTAAACTTATCTGTCTCCTCAAACGTTTATCATTTTTTTATGGTAAAAATGTCCAAGATCCTTTTGTTCTGGTATTTTGGAATGTACACTACTTAAGGTTCATCAATTAAAATCTTTTCTAAAATAAATCCTGTAGATATTGCTAACTTTGTTGGAATTTTTGTATTGCTCTTTTACTTTTATGACTTGATTTTTACAGCTAGAAGATTTTTCCCCCTCCTCTGTTCCATTAACCTACTTTTTGTCTCTTTAGATTTGCCTGTTTTGACAGAGTTACTGAGAAAGTATACACATATATAGAGGATTGATGTGATCAGTTTTGTATGAAGAAAGTAATTACTCTTGTTACAAAGCAGAGAAATGTGTAAAGGAGTCTCCTAACTTTGATAAAAAAAATTTAAGCAACCCCCATGTGTACGTTTACTTACAAATTATATACATACTATGGTGCTAATATACTATATTTTAAAACCCCTAAAATAGAATTTTAGAGAAATGGAGTAAAAAGGTAACATATCAACAAAAAGAAGCTAGCAGGTTTTCTTCCTGTATCCCAACAGATGATTTTTCTTACCCTTGGGGATGTGATTTTAAATGGAAAAGAATAAATGATTCATAAAGGGTGCATGGAACTTCATAGTCTGGCTGCACTTATTTCTTCCATTGCAGCCTACAGTTCAGTGACACCTGACTGCACTGGTTTCATCTCATGCTCTCAAATCTAGTCTGCTTTGCTTTTGCTCACCCTGTGATCACCTTTCTTCCTGGAATATTTATTCCCTCCATACTGGAAGATTGGTATAGTGAGATTCTGTATATGTTCTCCTCGGATTCACAAATTTTTAGCATTTTGCTAGTATTTGTATATTTGTATGTAAATTTTTCTGAAGCATTTTAAAGTTATATACATCTACTCCTTATATCCCTGAACATTTCAGTATGTGCCCCAGTTCTATTTTAATATTATCTTCTAAGTCAAATTCTTCTCTGCTTCCTTTCTTGTTAAGTCTATCAAATAAGAAATCCAAGAAATATTTAACCAGGCCACTAGTTACTAGCTTTTGGTGTACACATTGTCATCACCTACACTGCTTTAATGAATTCTAACCTAGTCCAGAAACTCCTGATTCATTGGGTTCTTGAATATGTATTTTAAAAGCACATCCAAAGCCAAAGATCATTTTTAGATCCTAAAGTTCATAAAGGGGTATAAACAGTGCTTTTAAATTTTTTCACCTAATAATACTAGGGATGGGAATGGTACTTTTACACTCTATTTCCAAACTTTTCAAAAGTTCCAAAAGCCCTAATAAAAGTCATTAGTTCTGTCTTATATAGGGAAAAAGCAGTACTCAGAAAGACTAAGACTAAGAAATGAGCCAAAGTCACATAGTAAGTTGCCGAACTAATAGTAAAAACAAAGTTTGGCTCCAAAGCCTTTCTCTGCATTGCACCTGCCCTTGAAAGCAAAGAAGAGAAATTCAGAATTTGATGAGGTTGTATGGGGTGGTGGCTGGGTGTCCAAAAGAGTAGAACTTTCACTTAAGTATTTCACATTATCGTGAGGTTCATAAGAACTCCAGTGAGAAAGAACAAGGTCTCAATTAATGAAGAAAATAAAAATGAAAGCAGATCTTATAAAGACAGAATCTATAGATTTGAAAAATGAATGAATATAGGAGTTCATGGGGAGGGAGAAAACAGTCTAGTCAGGGGTGATACTGGTGTTGTGCCCAGGATGGAAAAAACCAGTGACAAAAGAAACAAGGGCAGGAGGGCAAACTAACAAAGGGGAATGGCAAGAAAAAGCTAGGATGCCTGAAATCAGTCCTCCAATCTCAACCAGACAGGAAACTCAGCCACATCTCCACAGTTCACAGGTAATCAAAGGAGTTCAAGAAGCATTCTGCCCATTTCTCTAAGCTGTGATTAACTCAAATGCTCTCCAGACACATTAAAATATTGGAAAGAAAATGACCCCCAGAGGAAAAACGTTGACATTGTGGGCCTTTTAAAGTGTTTTGTTAATGACTGTCAGCTCGAGGGTTTCAGAGAAATAGAACTGATGATGGCAATGGGGTTTCTTTTGGGGGGAGGTAATAAAAATGTTCTCAGATTAGATTGAAATGTTTGTACAACTCTCAGTGTACTAAGCACAGTTAAATTGCACACATTAAACCAATGAATCTTGTAGCATGGAAAATACATCTCAATAAAGTTGGTAGACTTTAGCCAAAATTGGTTGTCAATTTAAAGGAACAAAATTTATATGAAGAAACATGATGCTGTTCTGTTACATCTTTTTGCTTCCTAAATGTATATACATAAATGTCATTTGCAAGAATTACTTTTTTAAAGGAAGGGAAATAAAATAAAGGGATAAACCAAGTGCTGCCCTACTGTCAGAGGAATTTGAAACCTCAGAGTAGCCACCAAAATAAAATTTTTAGACAGAATATAATTTTATGTATTGCTCAGATTGTCAAAAGGAAATAAATTCTAGAGATCTCTGAAAAATCAGACTTTTAATGCAGTATAATTCAACAATAACAAGAGAACAGTCCTTGAGGGAGGCATGATGAAATGACTATTCTCTCTTTAAGATGAATTGTCATCTCACTTCATTTATTTTTTATTTTATAATATTTTATATGACTTTAAATAACTCACAAGTTTGTTTTTCTTTACCATTAAATAATTTGTCCACTTTTGCACATTCTAATAATTTGTCCACTTTTTTTTTTTGGCTAACTATATAGTTCAAACTGGCCTTGAACTCCCTGAGTATCCCAGGCTGGTCTCAAACTCATGATGATCCTCCTGCTGCAGCCTCCCAAATGCTGGGATTACAGGCATGTGCTATACCATACCCAGCTGTAATTTCTCTTTTTAAAATAAAATACCAGCCATCCTATTTTATGGCTTCTCTAGTGAAATAAGTGCAGTAACTATTTGCTCCATCTCATTTTGAGAAGTAAAAATAATATAATAACAATACATACAGTGATTTTAAAAAAGAAAAACAAGAATGACTAATAGTTTGAATTTTTTCTCAAGTGGCCTCATATTCTTTTTCTAATTTCCTTCACAAGTACTGTATCCCTCTTCTGTGTTCTCGTGATATTTTATGCATACCTGTATTCTGGCATCTTCTCGGTTTCTTACTCTCTCCTCCATTTAGACCATGTACTTCTTTAAGGCACATGGCTGCATCTTATTTTTGTATCTCAGCATCTCTGAAGGTTCTCAGTAAATGCGTAACTGAACTTAATCAGAGGTGAAGACCTGTTGCTAGTTGTTATAGAGGCTGTTGTTTAGTCAGTTACTTTTTTAAGTTGGAGCATAGAATTAGTGAAAAAAAGTATATTTTTAATTTTTAAACTTTTATTAAAACATTACGTGATCTTTCATGGTTATTTAATATAGGGCATGGCCCTTGAATATGAAACCCTAATTTCAGTTCTACGTAACTTTTCTTGAATTAAAATTCAAACATTTTTTAAAACTCTGAAATAAAAGCAATTTAAATTGGAGGTATTTGGGAAGAATCTGAGGCATGAATACAGATTCTTTTTCAATTTTTACTGTTTCCTCAACCTTTCCCAGACATTATACTCACACCTAATTCCACAGCAGTTTTGATTTTTGATTAGCAACTCACTTTTGTAGAGTCTGTCCTAAGTATTTTAAATAGTTCTTGTACAGATGATAGCTTTCTTTTTACAGTATTTCTGGTAAGTGAATAGTTTGATTAATAGATTTGAGAACAAACCTAAGTGACTTGCTCTCAGAAAGCATATAGCTCAGTTTTTAGATCAGAAATGCAAGGAAGTCTAAAGAGTAGCTAACCAAGTATGCACAGTAAAACTTAACCTGAGGATCCAGTAATATATTTTATAAAAATAACAGAATATGGTTAATCTAGTAAATCACTTACTGGAGGAAATTTCAGAAAACCTATACTGCGTTTGTTTTTGTACCAAAAATTCAGTTATAGAGCTTACTCAGTCAGCTATATCTGGCCAAAAGAGTTTATAAAGTTTGTTTCCCTTAAAACTAGCTGCTTTGAAATGTTTTATTGTCATTTTAGGTCTGTGGCCATCCCTAAAGAATTTCATGCTAATTGGTTTTTTGTATTTGTTTCAATTCCAGTGGTAGGAATGGGATCCTGGTGCTTCCACATGACTCTGAAATATGAAATGCAGGTTAGTAATGACAAAATTGCCTAACTGCTTACTTCTCTAAATTAGAGACACTTCAGATTTAAGTGAAACACAAAAAGGAGATTTTTAAGAGTTTTTTCTTTAGGTCAAAAGAGTCAAAAGATCCACACCAATTAAAAACCAAGTTGAATTCTACTTACAAAAAACACGTGAAAGCACTATAACTTTTTGATGAACTATGCTGCCATGTTCAATTTGAGAACAACATTGTATATCAATCACATTGGAGACATCTTAAAATGACATAATCAGTTTACCAAACAACATATTCTTATTCTTAGAGGCCTGTGTTCTTTCATATCTCTGTGGCATACATTCCAATGGTTCAGTGTCCCTAGCTGGAAAAGTTTTAGGCATATGCAAGGATTTTTAGTTCTTGCCATAGATCTAAAGAGATTGTGTCTAGTCTTCAATTTTTTTTTTTTTTTTTTTTTTTGGTACTGAGAATCAAATTCAGGACCTTGCGCTTGCCAGGCAGGCGCATATGCCACTGAGCTATATCCCTGGCCCTAGTCTTCAGGTTTTTTCACTTTTTGGTTTATCCTCACTAATTTACAAACTTTTAGAACATCACTGTATAGTAGAAATAAAATCTGAGGAATATATATGTAATTTAGGATTTTCTAGTACCAACATTAAAAAAAGGTAAAAAGAAATAGGTAAAATTAAAACATTCTCCTTTTTGAGGTACTAAGGATTAAAGCCAGGGCCTCATGTATACTCTCCCATTGAGCTACTTCCCCAGCCTTTTATTAGTTTTTAAAGACACAATCTCAGCTGGCATTTTGGCTCAATCATACAATCCCAGTGTTCTGGGAAGCTGAGGCAGGAGGATCCCTAAATTTGAGCCCAGTCTGGGCAACTCAGCAATTTAGCAAAACCCTATCTCAAAATAAAAAAGTAAGGCCTAAGGATGTAGCTCAGTGTTCAGGCCCTGTGTTCCATCCCCAGTACCACCAAAAAAAAAGTTTCACCTGTGACATTCATACCTGTGATCCCAGCTACTCTGGAGGTGGAGGCAGGAGAATTGCAAATTTGAGGCATTTTAGCAGTACCCTCTTCTCAAAAAAAAATAATAATTTTTTTTCATTCTTTGAGCAGTGCGGATAGTTCTTACACAAGTGTTGAGGATGAGATATATGAAATACAGTCCCTACTCTCCAGACAACATGGTACTCTCACTGAATAGGGCCTAAGGGAGTCCCCCAAAAGAGAGATGGGGAACTATGACTCAACCCATCAGCAGGGTGGGTTGCAGGTTCACCGACTTCCATCACAGAAAAAGAATTTTCAGGATGTGTCAGCAAGAGGTATGAGAAGGCCTGTTAGTTAGAATTTAAAGTATACACTCAAAGAAAAATAGAGTGTACATCAAGAAAAGAGAGAAGTACACTGTAGTCTGGAGCAGATGATACTTGTGTGTTTTGGGCAATGGAAGTCTGTGACATTTGTGAATCTATAGGAACTTCGGGCTTGGCTTAGTACCTGTGTGATGGCTGACACATTAAAAGATAATAGCTCATTTTACTGGTTAGAGGATGGCCCACGTTAGAAAAGAAGAGGCAGGCCACAGTCTGTTGTGTTTTTTAAGAAGGGTGATCTAAGGTGTTTTGCCGAAATACATTCTTTGAAACCTTTGAATCTGTTTCTCTTAAGGTCAGATTTCTGTCCTTTACTTATCAACTTAGCTAATTTATAGACTTGGAGTATCTCTAAGAGATTTTGGATGTGATGGGCCTGGAAGAAAAAAAGCATAAATAACCCTAGGGAGTACAGACATGGGTCACCTTGGGTAAGTGATTGTGTCCTGAATTTGTGATTTTCTTAAAAGTACAATTTTTGAACTAGGAGTTCTTTTGTCTCCTTCCTCCTGTCTTTATTTTTTTCTGCCCTGACTCAGTACAAACTTTTAAAATATGATCCATAGTTCAAACTCATAAGTTGAATTTTAAGTTCTGTGATCTGGCCCCTACCTTTTTCTCTGGAATTATCTTCAGATACATACCCCACCTCTGCTCTTTTACTAGTTGTAATTTTGTTAGTTTTGGTTTTTAATAAGACTTTTATATTTCTATCACCCTAAAATGAGTACCCTTTTCACATATCTTCAGTTTAATTTAGTCCTTTAAACAAATAAGTCACCAACATCCAGACTTTTCTATTTCAAGTGCCTTTCATAGACTATCTGGGTGGGGTTGTGAGGTAACTCAGGGAACATAGATGTTTTTACACATTACCTTCTAAATACAAGGTGTGCTCAGAAAATACTGTTTCATTTTTGTTATTGCAGTAAGACACATTGCCGTTAATCCCCAGAATATTCTCCCTTATTTCAAATACTTATCCTATCCTTCTTGCCACTTTCTGAAGCAGTTCTAGAAGTGCTTTTTATGGGGTCTTTACTTACACTGTCATGGCTACCTCAGTGTCCTGAAATGATTCAAAATGTGTACCTTTCATGATCATTTTGATTTTAAGGAAGAGACAGAAGTCACACAGTGCCAGATCCAGTGAATAAGTTGGATGAGAATACCATGTTTTAACCACAATGTTTTTTTAAAAGCCTATCTTCCTGTTGGGTGGCACTCAGTAGCATTCGCCATATTTTTTATCACACTGTGAAAATACTCATGAAAGATGACTTCCAGGCCTGCTTCAGAAAATAGCAAGAATGATGGGATAAGTGTGTTTAAAGAGAGGGGGAGTATTTTGAGGAAGACTAGTGGCAATGTGTCCTTTACTCTAATAAATTTTTTAAAGTTTACATATATTTTGATCACCTCTTGTATATGAATAGTAGAAGGTCTACAAAAATGGACCCATTAGGTACCTTGGTATATTCTGGGAATGCTGGATAGCTATCCTAATATTTGCTAACACATGAAAACTGAAAGAAGACAACAATGCAGAAGGATTTAAGTAAAGCCATTAGACTCTATTCCAGTACTTAGGTAAATTCTTCCTATAATAAGACTTGCGGTTGATTTAGCTCCAGCATTTTTTTAACATCTAAAGGTGATTCAAGTAAAAAGTTTTGAAGTTAACATAACAGAGATATACCTTAAAATCAGTACCAAATCTGGCTCTGCAACTTATTACCTCTTTGATCTCATTGTTTATTTTGAAGTGAAAATGATAACATCTCTCTTAGAATTGTGAAAATTTAGTGACATAAAGATGTAAAGCACTTAACTATAAGACCTTACACAAGTGCTATTTTCACTGCTCTAATAATTTACCAGCATACATCATTCACTTTGCATAAGCTCTCTACTTACTTCCTAGAACGCCTCTTTTCCTATACTATTCCACTTGCAGCCATTTCTTTTCTAGTTTCTCTGTACTCCTTTTAGAATCATTACTCTCTGTCTAATCAGATGTTTTCCATTACCTTTACCTTTTTAATATGTGAATTCATTGAGGACAGTTACTGTATCTTATTTATTGTTATATACTCAGCTCCTAACACATTGCCTGGCATATAGTAGACATATTATTAAAGAGTTAATTTTGTATCTAGTGATAAATAAATTCAATACAGTTGACTTAAAGATTAGAAATAATAGGCCAGGCATGGTAGTATACACCTGTAATCCCAGCACTTGGGAGGCTGGCCATGAATTTGAGGCTAGCCTTGGCTAAATGTGTTCAAGACCAGACTGAACTACATAGCAAGACCCTGTCTCAAAAAAAAAAAAAAAAAAAAAAAAAAAAGATTGGAAGTAACCAGTCTATAACACCTACCTTAGTGTCCAATATATAGTTTAATAAATAATGGCCATAATTACTACTATTCTGCTAATAAATAATAATATTACTTTTTAGAGACATACAGATACTTGAATTAATAAAATTATTTCCCTGGCCTTTATTACATCTGTTTATTTATGTTAGTGGATATTTTATCCACTTGAGGTGTTATAGAAAGAAAAGAAATGCAAAAGAATGCTGATAAGATCTAGAGACCTGTAGACATCATGCTTTCCTAGAAGTACAGTATCATAATTTGTGACACTGAATGATGTAAACTACAACGGCTATCTTCTGTGAATAGTGAGTTGGGCGTGCTACTTAGGCATGTATATTAGGAGAGATGGGTGAATAATCTGTTCAAAGACAACAAACTGTACATCCTCAGGGAATAAACTAAATGATGATAAATATGTAAGAAAATAAGAGATGACAATCTTCTTTGGGGGAGAGGGCCTGGGGATTGAGCCCAGGGCTTTGTACACCCTAAGCATGTGCTATACCACTGAGCTACATCCCCAACCCAAGAGAAGATGATTTTAATCATTCTGATGTTTTGTTTTGATTTGTATTATAATTGCAGCTCCATCATGTTCAAGTCTGTTATGTCTTTGTTTCATATAGCTATTGGATGAACTCCCAATGATTTACAGCTGTTGCATATTTGTGTACTGCATGTAAGTACTGGCATTTACATTTCATTTATTTGATATATTTTAAATTCCTGTAGGCCTCATAGGAAATGAACAAATGTAGCCTACTTATATTACAAGAAATTGTGATAATGAAGATTGTAAATTTTATATCAGTGAAGAACGTGGGTTTCTGAGAAGTTATAATATACATTAACTTTTTTGATTTCAAAATCCTGTAACAAATTTAGGTAGGGTCTTAATTTGATTTAAATTGCACAACTTGCCTTTCCTTAACTAAAGAATATGTACATATTTAGCTAAAAATTTTATTTATCATGCCATAAAAAACTTACCTAAAAGTGAAATGCACTTCTAGTATATAGTGATTATGTCATTTTAATGTTTCTCTGCTTCATAGTTTTCTGTTAAATAGGTATTTGTATCCTTTCAATCCTCCTTATTCTGAAGCATAATAAAGACTACAAAAAATATGCTTATTTTGATTAGCTGTTCAAAAACATGGAAGAAAGCAATGAAAATCTTACAAACCATTACCAATCGAAAATTGCCTTTCTGATCATATTTAATTATCAAGTTAATTTTCATTTTCTGAGTGCCAGGAGAAAACAATCAATGCTGAAATACAATAGTGATTAAGATAAGAACATTAGTTAGTGCTGATACTTCTCTACTATACTGTGCTAGATAGTATACCATACTGTATTAATCACTTTCTCCTTGCTGGAACAAAATACTTGACACCCAAAACTTAAATGGCAGAGGAAAACTGCTCAACCATGGCAGACAAGAAACAGAGGGAGGAGGGAGGAGTCGAGAAAAGAATTCAACCTTCCAGGTCACACCCCCAGTGACCTGCCTCTTCTGACCAGGCCTCACCTCTAAGCAGCACAGTCAGCTATGAACTCATCCATGGATTAATCCACTGATGATTATAGCACCCACATGATACAGTCACCTTCCAAAAGTGCCACAGCTCACTTCTGGGGATATTTTAGATCCAAACCATAATACACACCATCTCTAATTCTCAGCAGTTGTGCAAGATAAGTGGGTTCTGTCCGCATTTTATAAACAAAGTGAAGCACAGAGAGATTTAGTACTTCTGCAAGGATATAAACAAAATTTGATAAAGAAGCATGCCAGCCAGGCCATTATCCAATAAACAATCTCTAAAGGACACTAAAATATCCCTGGAAATATACCATGATTGAGAAAACTAAAATGGTCAAAATCTCTCTTCCGGGGAGGTTGGAAAGATGTTTTGATTGGCATAGGAGAATGTGGTGGAAGTGTGGAAGGGGGACCCTTCCTTAGTTCATGGTCAGATAACAACATGTGATCATTAACTGTGAAATTCAGTCTCTCTAAATGTTTATATGTAAAGAATACAGAAGTCATCTTTCATGAGTTTATTCATCAGAATATGCCCGAAGTATGCCAAATGCTGTTGCTGAATCCTGTCCAGTAGAAAGGCAGATTCATAAAAACATTACAGTGCTCTCCTCCACCTTATTCATTGGATCTGGCACCATGTGACTTTTGACTCTTTCCCAAAATCAAAATGACTGTGAAAGGTAAAAGTTTTCAATCCATTCAGGACATCAAGGCAGCAATAACAGCACAACTAAAGTCATGAAAAAGGACTTCCACAACTACCTCAGAAAGTGGCAAGAATGATGAAATAAGTGTGTTCAAAGCAATAGGGAATATTTTGTAGGGGATTAATGGCTATGTGTCTTTTACTGTAATAACTTTTAAAATTTAAGTGTTCACTGTATTTTTGTCATACCTTGTCTAATAGTGTCAGCAAACTCTTAGGGAAGTGTAGGATATTTAGCCAGGTGTAATCTCAGCACTTGGGAAACTGAGGCAGGTGGGTTACAGTGAGTTCAAGGTCAGCCTGAACTACGTAATGAGATCCTGTCTCAAAAAAACAAATAAGCAAACAAAAGAAAGCAAGGATATTTAGTTCAATGTCTAATTCTGACACTAACTGCATGACCCTAGTAAGTCACTTAATCTTTTTTCCAGACAAGTTCTTTACTTACTGTCACAGAAAGGAATGTTAGGATGCATCAGTGAGAGACACGAGTTGATTAGGGGGAGTTGGAAAGTAAGAGAAAATGAAGAAAGGACTTTGCCCTCAGGAGATCAAGGAGGCACAGCTGTGGTAGAGATGAGACTGGCTTGTCAACAGAGGGAAGGGACCAGCTTTTGTAGAGTTGTTGGGTTGGGTAGGTTTTGGCTGATCATTCTGTCAATTTTGGTTTTGCAAGATAGCTCCAGAAAAGTGCTTATCACTGGGAAAGTCAGTCCGGTCTCCATGAAATGACAGGTTCTACTTGGAGTGGTCTCAGTTTTGCCAAGGCTCTGCTGGAATTCAAGGTGACCATAGCTTTAGGGCGGTGACTAGAGGTTTTTACGCACCGTTTGATAGCTGAATGTGTCTCTAAATCTCTTGCTTTGATAGCGTCAATTTTGAAAGCAGATGAGATATGTTATATAAATACCTCCTATTGGCAGTTTTTAGACAGACATTCCCTAAATGATTACTATTCCTCTATACAGACCTCAGCGGTAAGCTGACCCAAAAATTGAGTGTAATAAGGACAAATACATAGTAAAGGCAAAGATGACAAACTTTATGCAACTTGTAGTTACCCATTGGGCATCTGTAGGCCTAAGTGAATAGTAAGTGTTTTTAATAAAAGCAGTTGTTAAGACCCTGACTGCCTCAGAAGAAAACACCAATTAAGCTTTTAATGAGTAACAAGGAGGGTAAGGCCAGGGAGTTAGTTTGGCCTCTGTCTTTCTCTGATGACCCACATGTTTTATTTTCCAGCCTAGTTTATTCTTGTAGGCACTGTGGAGAGGGAATGCTAGCTTTAATGATACGTCTGGATTTTGAGGTTCGAAACATTGTTTGGGAAAGTGAGGGGACAGGGAAGAGTATGCATCACACTTTCAATAGGTAACAGGTTTGGGCCCAGGAGTGCACCTGCCCATTGTTCCCATTAATATGTATTTCCTTAAGGACTAATGATATTACCTGTCCTTTCTTGTGTTAACTGGTCATTTCTTTGTCTTATGTTAAGAAAGATCTGTTCACATTTTTGCCTCCCCCTCTTTTTTTAAAGAAACTGAGTTGCTTTTTTATTGAGTTGTATGAATTCTTTATATGTTTTGAGCTCAAGTCCTATCCAATACTAGATATTTCTATTTTAAATTGTTTTCTCATTTTTTTTTTCATGATACTGCGAATTGAACCCTGGAAACAGAACTATATCCCTCACCCTTTTTTAATTTTGAGATAGGGTCTAGCTAAGTTACCTAAGCTAAGCTGAAACTTGGAATCTTCCTGCCTTAACCTCCCAGAAGAGCAGAATTACAGATATGAGCCACTATGTCTGGTTTGGTACTTTTTTCTCTATTCTGTTGATCTCCGTGGGTTTCCTCATGTAGTTACCATACTGCTTTGTTATTGTGATTTTTTTTATAAATCTTGAAGTCAGAGTAAGTCCTCTAATTTTGTTCTTTATCAATGTAGTTTTGGTAATTCTATGTCCTACCTATTTTACATTGATTTTAGAATCACGAATTTCTATCAAAAAATTTCTGTAATATTGATTGTGATTATACTGATTCTGTAGACCAATTAGGGCACAATTAACTTCTTAACAAATTTTAAATCATCCAAACCTGAATGTGGCATAATTTTCCATTTATTTAGGTTTTCTTTAATTCTCTCAGTGATGTTTGTGATTTTCAGTGCATAGGTCTTACACGTACTTTGTTAAATTCAGCCCTACCTTTTTCATGATTTTGGGTGCTATTTTAAGTGGTACTGCATTTTGGAGGTAGGAGCATAACTCAGGGGTGGAGCACTTGCCTAGTATGCATATGAGGCCCTCATTTCAATAACCAGCATTAGGGAAAAAAGTTTTTAAAACTTTGTTTTCCAGTTGTTCATTGCTAGCACTTACAAAATACAATTGATTTTTGAGGATTAACCTTTTTATTCCATGATGTTGCTAATTTTGTATATGATTTTTCTGTTAATTCATTAGGATATTCTTTGGACATACCAAGTATACAAAGTAGTCTAGACTTGTAACCATATTTAAACGTGCCTTACCTAAATAGGTGATAGATAGATAGATATTTGTTCATTTATGAAACATGTAAAGGTCTTTGGGGTTAGACAGGATCCTTTACTGTATAGAACATGATCTTGGACTCTACATAAACAAAGAACTTAGTAAGGGGATAGATTAAAAAGTGGCTATATATAATAAAGTAGGATTACCCCAGTAAGAAAGATAAGCCAGGCCTACTAAAGACCTTTGCTTTTTTAACAAGTAATCTGCTTTGAGGACATTTGAAGTGATAACTCTAAATTATAGACAGAATGAAAAGGGTAACTATAATTCACAGTTACCCGCCTAAGTTTTCCATCCTCTTTTAAGCCATGAGCTCATAACTTGAAGGTAAAAACACATATTCTACCTAACATTTTCATCATTTCTAAGCCATAAAGTCACAAAATTTAAAAGTAAAAGGGAATTTTAAAATTATCTCAACTAAGCTCTTTACAATTAAGGAAATAAAAGATATATCCACTTCCCACAACCAGTTAGTACACTGTAAAATGCTCCTGTTGCCTTTACCAAGACAGTCTTCAAAAGTTGGGTACTTACATATGGCCAATTAGTTGTTCATATTTTCTTATTTACTGTCTCCTGTGCATCAGGCACTACCCTAATGACTAGATAAATGAAAAAAATAGTAAGATTATATCCCTGCACACACAACATTTCCAGTCTAGTTGGGGAGACAGTGAAGAAAAAAGGATAACAGAGTGATTTTTAAAAATAGTTTTATTCCCCTTCTAGATACCTTTCTGAGTTAAGGACATCATGTTACAGTGATATATGTATACCCAGTGTTCATAGCAGCACCATTCATAGTAGCTAAATCTGGGAAGAAGGCTACATGTTCAACAACAGATGAATGGATAAAGAAAAATGTGGCGTTTATGTAGAAGGGAGTATTACTGTGCCATAAAGCATACTTGAGTCCTTTCTAGGAAAATGGTTTCACCTTGTTAAGTGAAATGTCAGATACACAAGGTTAAATATTGCAGTTTTTCTTATATGAGAAACCCAAATGTAAATAAAGACCAAAATAAAAGATAGATATTAGGAAAAAATGATACAAATGGTCCTGTTAATAAGATTATAGTATGTGTATTATAGTACTTATAGTACTTACTGTACTATAATACAGTACTTATTGTAACAATATTTCAGTCTATACTGTGATTATCCCATAAGACTATAATGGGGCTGAAAAATTCTTACCACCTGGTGATTTCTTAACCATGATAATGTTGTAGCATAACACATCATGTAAGTATTTGTGGTGATGCTGATGTAAACAAACATAATGTGCTGCCTGCCATGTAAGTGTATAACAGTACACTTATGTACAGTGTAGAATGCTTGATAATGATAATAAACAACTGTTATGGTTTATGTAAACAAAATAAAGCCAGCTGCTTATCATAAAAATAAAAATTTACTTAGTGATAAACAGTTGCAAAATATAGAAACTTACTCAAGTTAGCTTAAGAGGTTTGTTTTTTGTAAGGACATGAGAAAATTATATGAATAGCAGAAAGTACCATCTCACCTCAACAGAACAGGGAAGGCAGCTTCTTCTTCCCTCCCTCTTTTCTCCATTCCTTCCTCTCCACTTGGCTTTGAGTCTTCATATCTACTTTATTCTTCCCTCTCTGCAGATTACTTGTATGATCATTCATCCACTTGATTCTTCAGTTTGGTTGCCCCGAAATATCAACCTCAGACCTTGCACCCATCTGATTCATAATTCTATACTTAATTGATTTAGTCTATAGCTGCCAAACTCTTCGACTTTCAAGAGAGAGCCTCTCATTACCCCAGCTTAAGTCAGATGTCTATTCCTGGCCCCTCCAAATTCTTGAAGGCTGTAGGCAGTGCAGGGTTTCCAAGATGAGAACATGGATGGGAAGAATTGAAGGGTATCACTAGCTTGCGGAGGCATGCGGGCAAGTGGTAAAGCAGTGCTCTGTTTATGTTCCTAGTTGTATATTCTAAAGAAAGTTTCTTTCTCCCTTTTTTTAAGGTTTGAATGCTTCAAGACAAAGAACTCAGTAAACTACCATCTGATTTTTACATTAGTTCTATTCAGTTTAATAGTAACCACAGTAAGTCATATTTTATCTTTAACAGATTAAGCATGTGAATTTGCCATTTATGGAGTTTGGCACATTTTACTTTCTGTTTTTACTTCAAGCTGTTCAAATTGAAATGTTTCTGTGTACAACCAAAATACCTCATTTTTAGAGATTGTTCTTTTGTCTTCTTTTCAAGTGTTATGTTCTCTGCAGTCCAAATAACTTAATGTTTTTTTCAAAACTGTAAAGTCAAAAAGTAAATTTTTTTAGTAGCAGTGAAAAAAATGAACTTTTCTCATGGATTGCATATTACCTCCTATTTGTTAAAAACAAGAGATTGCCTTTGCTCTCTTGGGCCTAGTGTGACTATTCCTAATAAGTTGAGGTACTAAATCACTTTTGATCCAACTCTATGCTTTTCCCTTCAAATGAATTGCATTTGTATTAAGAAAATATTCATTTCAATAAACATTTATTGGAAACCTATATGTCAAATACAAAGGTGACTAAAAAGCAGTTGCTATTTATGAGGAATTCATTCTGTTAGAAAAGTTAGACAGGAAGCAGAGAATTACATCAAAAGATAATTGCAGAGCTGGGTATGGTGGCACACATTAGTAATCCCAGCATTTGGGAGGCGAGGCAGGAGGATCATCACAGGTTTGAGGCCAGCCTGAGCTACATAATGAGTTCAAGGCCAGCCTGAACTACATAGGGAGACCCTGTCTCAAGAAAAAAGGAAAAAGGGTAGTTGCAATAAAAGAGTTAAAAGCTATATGATGATGAAATAATGGAGAGTCAATTAATACTGCTTGAACATACATGGTACTTCGTAAGTGTGGGTAACTTACATTTTTATTTATCAGGGTAAATTTTTTAAAAATGAAAGGAAGCTTCAGAAAGGAGATATTTTAGCGAGATTTTAATTGATAATTAAGAGTCTGTGAGGCCCCTGAAACATTTAGTCATTTCTGTGTTCAGAGGCATAAAATGTTGGAACAACATAGTGAATTACTGTTTTTAATTACTTACTATGTTCCAGATATTGTATTAAGGACTTTACATTTATGATCGCATTAAATCACCACCTCTAGTGGAATTGAGAAAGGTTTTGAACAGATGAAGCATATTATAAGTGGGTGCAATCTTAATAGAAAGGGTAGAATTAGAAAGAGGTTGTCTAGAATGGTTGCCCAGTTTATGGCCCAGCTGTGAGCATACACAGTATGTCCTTAACCATGATGGGAAGCTTGGAGGATGAGCAGTTTTTCAGAAAAGAAAATGAGTAGGTCTGCTCCATGGGAGAGGGGTTAGTACATTCAATTCAGAATGTATTGAGTTTGAGATGCCCAGAATAACACCTGAGGCTAACAGGTAGGCTGGGCTAAAGATGTAGATTTGAGAATTGGCAGAACATAGGTAGTACTAGAAATGTGAGGATGGATGAACTGACACAGAAATAATATAGGCCATTAGTGTGACTAAAGTTACAGTTCTATAGGATGCAGCCATTTGAGGGACAGATGGAAAAACTAGAGCCAGCAAAGGAGACTGAGAACAAGTAATCAGAGATTTGGAAGCTCAGGAGCCTGACGTCAAAGAGTAAAACCAAACAAACAAGAAACCTCTAGTAGGTTAACAGTATTACTTGCCTCCAAATGAATTAAGTATAGTGGAAGATTGAGAGCCAGCAGAAATTTTCAGTTAGAAGACAAGTAATTTAATGAGGATATTGTTAACAGTAAATTGATGAAAGCAGAAGCTAGATTTCAACTAGTTGAGATAGGACATTGAAAGAACATTATGCCCTACTGTATTTTCATGAGCTTCTGTGTTCCTTTGTTTTAGCTGCATACTGGTTAATGGTGAAAGAATCTTAAAACTTCAGAAGAGAAAAGAAGTCTTGTAACTGTATTTTTAAAAGGAGAATAAAGTCTAGAGAGTGTTAATGCCTGTTTCACCAGTGAAGTTTATAAAGAGAATTAGTGGCAAAGTCAAGATGAGCCCCCTTCTGTAAATTAAGAGATAATATAGTTAGAAGCAGGCTTTGGAATCAGTCAGATAGGAGTTTGGATCTAACAGTTACTTAGTAACTGTGGAAACCTTAGGCAAGTTATTTATCTGTAAAATGAATATGTTAATAATAGTGTATATTTCATATTAGTTGTGAAAATTAATACTTGGCACATGGTAAGGACTCCATAATTCTTTACCTTTAAGAGGTGTGTCTCCAAAATCAGTATTTTGAAATAAAGAATTCAGAGATTAGAAGGATTCCCTTGTACTGTTTACTAAGTTTAGAGTTACAATATATAATGTCTCAGACACATATTTTCAAAGTCCTATACCTCCTTAAAAGGAAATAATCTGATTTTTTTTGTACAGGAAACTTAGTCTAGAAATGAACTTTGTAGTCAGATGTTAAAATTATAGAAAATGTTATTAGATCACTATATTAAATGGAATATAGCGCTATTTAAGTCCATTCCTTGCTATCAAAGACATTGTTTTGTAAAGGAGAGAAACAAACTAATGCCATAAAGTTTATATATAGACAGTAATGCTAGAAAAAAGGTGAATGACTGCTTCTAGTGTAGAGAGAAGGGTTCAGAAAAGGCTTCAAGAAAGATGTATACTTAGAGTTGAATCTTAAAATAAGAGTACTTCCTAGAGAGGGAGAATTTCTGAGCAAAGTAAAGAGCAGCATGTTTAAAGATAGAGAAGTGTGAAACTTGATCGCCCATATGCCACTGAAGCACAAAACCAGGGCTTTTGTATGTGAGATGCATCTACGTAAGTAACTGAGGTACATCTGTGTGCTAGGCACGTGTATGTATTTTAGCTTATCATTCCTCGCTACTATTACTCTCCATTATCCGGATAAAGAAAAATGAGTCTTTTGTTCAATAGGTGTAGCATTTACGTGGCGAGTATGAAAATCAACTGCTTAATTGTAAGTCCAGTGTTCTTGCTACTACAGAACAGATCTGGGACAGGGACTGTCAATGTCTTCACCCCTCGTTAGTATCCATATAGAAGCCAAACAGGTCAAAGTAGTCAACAGATTTGAAATATTTTATTTACCATGGCAGAGCTAACACTGGATAAGAGTCACCTGTACCTAATCTGGTTGGTTTTTATGTGGCTGGAGTCAGGTCCAAGTGGAACAGGAGAGGTTTAGAATTTGCATAGTAGTTAGAATACCCCCCACAATAGTACACCTCATTCACATGTGTTTCTTCTAATATCTTACAGGTTTATCTTAAGGTGAAAGAGCCTGTGTTCCATCAGGTAATTTTTTTTAAAATTATCACCCATTTGTTTGTCAGTACATGACTGCTTTGTGTTTTCCTTTCCCAGGAAATTATATACATACACAATTTTGAAAATGTCCTAAGAAAGTAGTTAAGTATTTAAAACAGGTTGCAGCCAGGCATGGTGGTACATGCCTTTAATCGCAGCACTTTGGGAGGCTGAGGCAGGAGGTTTGCAAGTTCAAGCCCTGCCTGGGAATTTAGCAAGACCTTGTGGCAAAATAAAAATGGCTGGGGTTGTATGTAGCTCAGTGCAAAGGCCTGGCGTTCAATCCCCAGCATGGCAGATGGATGGATGGATGGATGGGTGGATGGATAGACAGACAGACAGGCAAAGATTCTGGGCTCGGAGTGGAGTGTAGCTCAGTGATAAAAGTGCTTGGCCAGCATACACAAGGCCCTGAGTTCAATCTTCTAATACTGAAAAAAATAAGGAAGGGGGAAAAATAAACAAACAGAGGTTGCAAACTGGCTACAAGGTACGGAAGTGCAAGAGATGCAAAAGAGTTTGCAGAGGTGCCTACAGGAATCAGATAAAGCAGGAAATACCTGGGATAGCCAATGGCTAGGTCCAGCTGGCTGTTAATACTAGTGAGTCAGATCTAGCATTGCTCTTACAAGCAGAACAAAACGGGGAGCATCATATGCATACATACATGAAGTCTTTTTATGATATTATGATCTAGAAAAGACAAACTAAAAAATCTTTGAATTCCCTGCCTTAATTTAATACAATTTTGTGATTTTTTTGAAGCAGTCTAAAAAAATTTATTAAAATAAATTAAGGGGGGAAATATTCAAGGATTTTTCAGTTTTTCCAGGCTGCGATGTAACCTAGGCTGGCATTGAATTCACAGTTCTGTTTCCCAGGGCTGGGAGTGCAGGTCTGTGCTTTCATCTAAATTTTTTGATGTGATAAGTTACTTAGTTTGAAGGAAGCAAACCCAGGAAACTTTGCTGTAGGAAGGAAATGATGATTTAAATATATGACATTATGAAACCAAAGTGAAACAGAGTTGTAGACCTTAAATAGTTTTATTTATTGAGTGAAGCTGTGTGCCTGGTACTGTGTTCATTACTACCCAGATTTCTAATCTGACAGTCCTACAAATTAGGGATTATTATGCATATCTTAAGGGACAGGAACTGAGAAGTATTAAGTAAATTGCCCCTGAATGACAGTAAGGAGCAGAGCCAAGATTGTAACCTAGATTTATCTGACTCCTGTCATCATTCTTTTAACAAACTAGCTAACATAAAGAAGTCAGTAAGCACACTTTGAAGGAATGTCAAAGGCCTGTAGTTTTAAGATATTGTGTGCTTATATGAAAAAGTACTCCTATAACTCTTTAAACTCAAACTGTACAGTAATTATCTAGCTGAAATCTGTTAAAACAAATTTCATGACCTCATTGTTGGACCTTGCTTTTCTCCAGGTCAGCTGGAAGCAAGTGTGCTAAAGTAATGCTATAGGAAAAGGCGTCATTGCCTTCTTGTTTACTGTAGTTTGAAATCAGGTCATGATTTAGTTATGCTTTTGCTTAGATTTATTTACACAGTGAAAAAATGAAGTTGAGTTATATAAAGAATCTTCAGGTTTTACAAATTTCTTCTTTGCCAGTAAAAGGGAGAAAAATTGTAACCACAAAAGAAATTCGGAAATTGTGGGTTAATTTTTATATGTTTATGACCATCAGTTTTCCATTTTGTGTTTTAGAACTATTTGATACTATTTTTATGTAGAAAAATAACAAAGTATTAATGTCTGCTGCTGCAATATCCATGTTTTTCCAGTAACAAATATTTTTTCTCTATGTGTAGCCGTAATATTTGCTGATGTATTCAGTGGTAAAGCATATACTTGGAATATGCAGGGCCCTGAGTTTGACCACCCCCCCAGCACCATACATACGTACATACATACATACATACATACATACAAGATAGGATTTTCCACATAGTTAAACATGTGAAGGTCAGGTGGTATTTCCAGGGAGGGCATAGAAATTTTGTGTCCCTTCTCCCATATCTCATCCTGTCCACCTCTTCATCTGTATCCTTTGTAATATCTTTTATAAGAAGCTACCAAACAAATAACTGAGGTTTCTACAATGATCTTTGTGTAATTGAATTGAAGTTGGAAGTACTGATATGAATTCATGATTTGTACATTATATTAAGAAAACTGTGTGGAGAAATTTGTGATCAAAGTTAGCATCACCAGTGAATGTTCAAGTAGGTATCATGTTTCTCCTAATCTGAAGGCTGAGAAGGACATGTCAGTTATCTGGTATTCCTGCCAAAGAATTGACAGCCTGAGTTAATAATAAGGAAACACCAAACAAACCCAAACTAAAGGACACTGCACAAACTAACTTGATTACACCCTTCAAAAATGTCATAAAAGATGAAGAAAGATTAAGGAACTCTTCTAGAATAGAAAACAAAGGAGGCATGCCCACATATACTTGGTAAGAAAGATAAATAGGAATTTGCAGGGATTTCAGCCTAGAGGAGTATGCTCAAACTGAAGGAAGAATAAGAAAGCATGATCAGTTCTTGCTTAAGTGCATGGATTTGGGGATTAGTTTGTCTGGGTCCAGAGCTAATTTGTTATATCCTGTGTGAACCTAGAGAAGTTATTTAATCCTCTGTGCCTCCATATCCCTACCTATAAGATGGGCATCAATAACAGTACTTCATAGGATTGTAGAATTAAATGAGATCATGTATATAATGTATTTGTTATACTGCTGGCTTTATAGTAAAGGTATTAGCTGTTATTAGTAATTAAGCTAAGAAGAGATATGATCGGCTTTTTGTATTAGAAATTTGTGATTCTAGCCAAGTGTGGTGGTACACACCTGTAATCCCAGCACTTGGGAGGCTGAGGCAGGAGAATCGTTGCAAGTTCGAGGCCAGCCTGGGCTACAAAGTGAGCTCAAGGTCAACCTGAACTGCATAGCCACACCCTGTCTCAAAAAGCCAAAAAAAAAAAAAAAAAAAAGAAGTTTGTGATTCTAGCAGATGAAGAATGAATTAGAGTATTATAATCAGGAAAAGACAACATCTAGTATTTGTTTAATCACTGCCCTTGTGTCAAATAACTAGTCAGGTTTAAACAGAAAAATTAGATACCTTCTCAACCTAGAAAGAAAATATAAATAATAAAAATAATATAGTATATGGCTTGCTGTTCATTGTATTTATATTTTCAGTTTACTTGTAGGGATAAGTTTCTTCAAAGTAAAATGTTGGGAAAATTAGATAATAAAAAAGGAACAAAAAGCAGAGTGAAGAATTGCCATTTTACCATGCATATTATCAGATCACAGTGCAGTGAAACTAGAAATCAGTAGCAAAAGAAAAACAGAAACTCCAAATGTATGGAAATCAAATAACACACTCTTGAATAATCATCAGTCACAGAGGAAATTAAGAAGAAATAACACAGTTTCTAGAATTAAATGATAATGCCAGTACAATATACCAGAGCTTATAGGACACAATGAAAGCAGTCTTAGGAAAGTTTATAGCAGTGAACACCCATATTGAAAAATCAGAGCAACCCCAAATAAATAATCTAATAATACATTTTACAGTCTTAGAAAAACAAGAGCAATCCCAAACCCAGAGCTGTGCAAGGAAGGAAACTAGAAAGGTTAGAGCAGAAATTAATAAAATGCTGGGGTTACAGGCATGTGCCAGATACCTGGCTTATCCTGGTACTTTTAAAAATAAAGAACTAACATAATAGAATATGACCTTTAATAATAGCTTTTCAAACCAGGGGTAACATCATGGTAAAATAATCAAAACATCATTATTTTTCAGTTCTACTTATTCTTTAACTAACATAATGATTGGTTTTTCTAGCATGACTTTGCGTGCTTCCAGTTCATATTACTTAAAAAGCTCAAACTCCTACATATATATTCTCTTGATAATATGCCTTAAATGTTTCTAATGACTATATTTGCCCTCTATTTTATACCTCATTATTTACCTTCTGTTTTTTCTTTAAACTGCTATAATCTTTCATTTCAATATTTAATCATCTATTTCAATCCTGTTGTTTTATACCAACTAGCAAATCTAAGACAGTTTTCACTTTTCTGTCTGAAATGAATATTGAAGCCAATAGTATTTCTCATTATTTTGTAAAGCTGTATTTGTTTTGTTTTGGTTTTTTTGTCTGTTTGTTTGTTTTCTTTTCCGGTACTGGGAGTCGAACTCACAACCTTGCACTTGCCAGGCAGGCGTGGTGCCGCTGAGCTAAATCCCCAGCCCCCTGTAAAGCTGTATTTGAAAATTTCTTTGCCTCACATGTCTAATCTAGCTGATTTGTTAAGCAATTAGGATGAATACTTTCTATGTGTACCACACACGTGGCTTTTTAAAAAAGTGTGTATATCTTTAATTATTCTTTTTCTGTGTACATTCTTAAGAAAACTGGAGTTTTTGTTTTCTTCTTTTGTAAAAGTTCAGTATTGCTCTCAAGGTTGTTTTGTTTTGTTTTGTTTTGTTTTGTTTTGTTTTGTTTTGTTTTGTTTTATTGAGACAGGGTCTTGCTACGTAGTCCAGGCTGGCCTTGAACTTACTTTGTAGCCCAGGCTGGCCTCAAACTTGTGGCGATCCTCCTGCCTCAGCCTCCTGAGTTCTGGGATTACAGGCAAATGCCACCACGCCTGGTTCTGTTAATCTTTCATGTAATTTTTCATATACTTATGTGTAGAAATTTAGAAAAGTTGTTTTGCCAGGCATGGTGGTACACATCTGTAGTGTCAGCTACTCAAAAAGCTGAGGCAGAAGGACCACAAGTTCAAGGCCAACCCAGCCAGTTGACCAAGATACTCTGTCTCAAACGAAAAAAAAAAATTTTAAGGCTGAAGATACACTTTAGTGGTACTGTTACCCAAGGTTTAATGCAAGTACCACCAAAAAAACGGAAAAAAAAGAATTGTTTTGAAATTTGTG